CACTTTAGAAATACCAACAGGAAGAGAAAAAACACCAAAATACCCATAAAACAAGACAACGGCAGTTGGGTGGGAGCAAAACCTTTTCTTCAGATGCAGTCCAATGGTTTGCTCTGTTGTATTTTGGGGAGTTGGGACACAAAGATGACACCCTAACATCCTTCACTGAGCAAGCAGATGGACAGAACTTTCTTTATTAAAAACAGGCCTCAATCAGGCTTTGTTGAATATGCTGGCTAGAACTTTGGCTGAAGTAAGCTTTTTTTCTAAAGGAGTATAAATTGTTTAGTCAGTAGAAAGCATGTTATGATTTTGTTTTATATGTAACTGCTTGTTTGCAATATTCTTACTACCACTTAAGTTGATCAAAGAACAGAGATTTATGTTTTCCATAATGAATTTAAGTGCTGTGGAGGTAAGTACATTGGTGATCTTGAGTTGAATCTCACAAGCAGGTGTGTACTGCTCCTCTGGGAACAGCAAGGCCTAGTAATTCTGAGTGTTCAGTGGATAAGATGATGGACATTGCAGGAAATGCTCTGAAGACTCCAGAATTCGTGTCTATATATTGTGAATTCCAGAGGTAGTGAGGCCTGAAGGATAGCGCTTGTGCTACCAGACACAGGTGGCGTCAGGAACAAGGAGTAGGAGTGCACAGCGCATGAGGTTCCAGGTGCAGGCTCTGGCCAAGAGGCACTTACTGTAGGTGGCTCCCAGCTGGCAGCCCACCATGACTATTGGGTAGGTTCCCTGCCTGCTGTGCCCCCACATACCACTCAAAGCAACCAGCTGCTGAGGCCAGCATATGTGTCTACATTGTGAAGGAAGGGATGCAGCAGGTCTCTGTGTGCTGCACAGGCCAAGATTCCTTCAAGCTAAAAGCAGGTAGTAGTGAGTTCCCCTGGGGTAGGTCCTACATACCCATAAAGTAATAAAATACTAAAAGACAAGCCACGGCAGGCTTTACAACTATACCTGTTTAAACTGTATCATGATGTCTTTTGAAAGCTCCATGTCTTTAAACATTCCTTCAAGCTTGCTGGTGAAAGCAGCTCCACATTCTGTAAGAGGTTTTTATAATAAAAAGCTAGTCAAAAATTAAGAAACAACACTTTAAATGGTTAAACCATATGTCAGAGAGCCATTCAAGTACAGCACACACGTACAGGTTCAGAAAATATCTCATTCCTAATTCCTGCGTCATCTTTATCTCCTTAAATTTGGGCCTGGATTAGAGCTTAGGAATTCTGGCTGACCAGGCACCAGATTTTGTGTTATGAAACAATGAACGACCATCAGTAAGAACTCACTGGCAATGATACAGGGTTGGGAGTCTTTATATTGGATAAAAACAATGACCCAGGAAGAAGCAGGACATTAAGTTCTCATAGCACAAGTATTTTGTACTAGATGCCCTCTGATTTACCCCCAAAGACCCAAATGGTACAAGCTAGATAAAGGCTGGGCAATCATTTTTGATTGGGGGAGCAGGGGCTGGCTACTCCAAAAATTTGGTCATGAGCCACACTTTTCTACAATATTCATGGAGGTAGTGCAGGGTCTGGGACTGAGATTGGGTGCAGAAGGGAGTTTGGGGTAGAGATCTGGGAAGGGTACTGGGGTGTAGGAGAAGATTCTGACCTGGGGGAGAGGTGTGAGAGGGAGTGCAGTCTAGGAGGAAGCCTGGATATAGGAGGAGATTATGACTTGGGGCAGGAGAGGGCAGTGGGTTGTGTCCTGGGGCAGGAAAGGTTGTGACCTGGAGTAAGGGCTTGGGGTGCCAGGTGCAGGCTCTGGACGGGAGGTGCTTACTGTAGGTGACTCCTGACCGGCAGCCCACTGTGACCCTCAGGGCTGCTTGTCTGCTGCCTGGACCCAGTGTGTTTCCAGCCAATGAGAGCTGCGAGGACTATTCAGGGGGTAGGCACAGAATGTGGAGACCTCCCTCCCCACAAGGGGTGCACCTCACAGAGATACATGCTGGCCCCAGCAGCTGGCCACTTTGAGCAGCGTGTGGGACCATGGCAGACAGGGAATCTGCCCAAGAGGCCCATGGTGGGGTAAATCCAAATGACTGGTGGTCTGGATCCGGCCCATGGACCTTATTTTGCCTGCCCCTGAGCTAGATGATCAGTCTGAACTTTAAATTCGTGACTTATGCCTGGTACTAATATATTTGCTTATATGAAATTGTTTCCTTAAAACAGAATGGAATTATATAAACACAGCAGTGCAGAAAAAGATGTGTACGTACGTACATACGCATGCACTTTTCCTTTTTTTTTTTTAAAGGAAATAAAAGGCAACATTAAAATAAAAACCTGACAAGGGGAAAAATATAGAAATTATAGTCTAAATTAGTGGTCTCCAGCCTTTTTATGCCCATGATAACTTTTTGAAATTAAGGGCATG